ATGCATTATACCTGCTAGATCAGTAATAGGGGAAAAGAGCTACAGAAGGACCTTAAATGAGGAAGAATGGCCCAGACAGACTAAAATATCATAACTCAAATGCAGCCCTGACACTCTAACACGGGCATGGATCTGTATCATGAAACTAGTACTCCAAGGTGATTACGGGGGATTTAGGAATCAAAGGTGGATTGCTTTGTCCACTTCTTCTTGCCTTTTAAAAGGTACTCTTTGCTTGTTGCACACAAATAGAAATTTGCTCTGCATTTTTCACTCTGATATTTTAGCCTTTTATCCCTTTTCTCTGAAGCATGATAGAATGCTAGAAGTGATGTGCCCAATAAAGTGAATATGCCACTACGTGAAGAAAATTCTCCCCTGGATGAGATCAGAATAACCACCATTTTGGAATACAGATGGACATTTCTTCCATTTCAAAATGCATACTTATGAAAGTGATTGGAAAAGAGAAGGGAAGAAAACAATCTACCCTTCTGTATAAGATACAGACTCATTTCCTTGGTCCATTGAGATTATTTCATGGTATACTATTTAACTTTGTTTTATTTCCTGAGACACAAAGCACCTGGACTATTCCTGCATTCTCTTTGTGGCATCCTTTAATCAAGAAGAACTGAACAATCTTCAAAGCTGCTTACTTAATATATTGAAAATATGGTTTTATGTGCTAGAGGTCCTCTTCTAGGAGACAATCTAAGAAACCAGCTGCCATGTCTTTTAAATTATACTCCATTCAGGTAGGGTGGCTATCTTCTCTGACATTCCAACTCTGGTCTATACCTATCATTATACAATAGCCACAAATTTATGAAATATTTGCACTAACCTGTGTTATAAGAATGCCCATATAGTCACACTGAATAGCATCAAAAACTGATCAAAGCAAGTCAAGCATTGTCCATGCGGAAGTTGGACTTGTCCCCAAGCAGACTGATGTTCAGAGTTGCATACATAGTAATGTGTGTGCAATTTGTGATCTCTAAGTGACTGCAACCCATGACATTATATGCCCTAATTGGTGCTGCAGAAAATGGTAGCTGCAGAAAATTCCACGCAGGCACTAAAAGTCTTCAAAATTACATCCTTCATTCCTTCCTTCATAAAGCATACATGCACATCTAGCAACAGACAGAATATCTACATGCAGTACAGCACACAGAATGTGTGCACCTGGTGTTTTGTTTTATATCAGCTTCTATGATCCAAAGACCATTGAGGGTGAGCTTTGTTAATTTACAATATTTTTACAACGCTTGCACAAATTAATGTGCTTGTGCATCACTGCTCTTTACTTCACGGAATTTGAGACCTATTCAAGTGCAAGCCATTAGATCTTACTCTGATTCAGGTGGAATCTCTGGTAGAACAAGCCGTAAGAATGCTCTGTTTGTCAAGAAGAACAACTTGTTTTTTCCCCAGACCAAAGTACTTAAGTACTGCACAGCCATTACAAGTATGATGTAATACGATTAATCATTGGTCTTTTAAAAGAACAGCTGAATTAAAATGAAGTTTCCACGTCACTTTAGTGTAGACACTGAACACACCTTCAAATTATCGTGTTTGGTTACTGCTGACAGTTTCTGGACAATCATTACTCAACAAGGATAGAATAAAACAATTAAGTCCCAGGTTCGATACCAATATATCAAAGTGTTGCAACCTGTGCTTTATTTTTCTTTAGAAAACAGCAAAGAGGATTATGATTTGGCTTTAGATAAAAGCTCCAAACAACTGAGACATATGCAGCACTAGCCTTAGGCTGCTAACTATTTCTCCAAGAAGTGTCTTTCTGATACTTACTTCCTACCTTCACTTTGTCCACTGCACAGAAAGAAAAGATACGTAGCTCACTTTGGTAGTCCAAGAGACTAATTTTCCTCATGCGGATTCTGCTCTGCAGTGCAACAAATACAGAACAGCTGAATTCTGACTCATACTTAGCAGTAAGAATACCCCGATGCAGCTTCCTATATACTATACACCTAAGTCTCCCCCTCAAATCCAGCCTACTTGCTTTCAAATAACACCTGCACCACCAAAGGGGCAGGATGAGGCATTTATACCAGTCCATAGCATTAAAAAGTTATTTTTTCCACATGAATAGAATAGATATTTTTCATCTCTTTGGCCGAAGTCCCAATTTGCAAAGATATTTCTAAGAGACATCTATTTTTGTTATATGGATTAAGCTCAGTGTGAAAGAACATGTGGGATAAAAAAAAGACTCTTAAGCATTCAACAGAAACGTGAGTTGGTAGAAGTTTTTTTTTTTTTTTAATCTAGTCAGCTGGCAGAATTTCTGGTATATATTTTGGTTTGTTCCAAAGTTCTGTGATATTTGTAAACAAAAGCTGATAAATGGAGGAGGGTAGTTTAAATGTATATAGTGACTTCTCGGAACTCTGTCAATAAAAATAAACTGCTTCTTGAGGCAACTGAATACATCTTTCAATATGGCAGGCCACATGAAGGATGTGGATGGGAAAGCCATTCTTGCGCAGTCTTGTAAATGAAATGCTTCTCTATAACCTTAGGCACACAGGCAGCATACCATTAAAAAGACACTCACCAATAATGCAAAAAACATGACAGACCATCCCTTCAGAGTTGCTTCATTCCACGTAAGCCCAAGCCTAAAGACAAAGGCTTATATCCAACTTTAGGCTAGCATTAAAAGGAGAAGTTGGTGTAGTTCAGCTAGCAGTTATAAAACTGCTATCAAAGTAACCAACACAAGCAATGCCACGTATTTTAGCCATGTGGCGTCAGGGCTGCTTCACATATTTCCTGGCCTGGGATTTAAATATCTGAAGAAGCACCTCGTCAGCTTGCTCACATCTTGTCACAGAAAGCTTTTTTCCCAGTAACTCAGAAATATTATGTGAAAATAAAGGAGTCATCTCTCTTTTCAGGCCCTGACACCCTCCCAGTGTGTGAATGGAGCTTGCACGGCAATCTTTCTGGTGCCAACTCAACACAATTTGTTTGCTCAAGGATTGTAATTATTTAATCTGATCTTTGTGTTGTATTTGATGCCCTTTTTATCTTATTACAATAAAGATGTCTTATTGATATTGTATACTCACTTCGACCATGTTCTTGTATACTGCCATGGTATCCATAAAGTTGAAAGGCAGAATAAAAATATTTTACATAAATAATACTTTATAAAAAATAGAAAACTTCCAAAATCCTTATCACCATAATACCTTTATTGAACTGACTCACAGGGCCACAAACTACTGTGAAAGCATTCGAGTTCTCCAGAACCTCTTTAACCAAAATGGTCTTCTAGGCATTTGAGAGTATACAAGGTGCAATCTGAGCATTCAATTGTAACTGGAGAGATTCAGAATGTAGGCTAGGAAGCCCACATGAAGACTTTGGGCCAGTCAATGATTCTTGGCCTAACCTTCCTGACAGAGTTGTTATAAGGTTGAAAATGGAGAGAAGGACTATGTAAGTTGCTGTTGCAAGCTAGGTTTCTCCCTTCACACTTCCAAACCAACAGACCATTCTTTGGAAAAAGCTCTTTATTCTCCAATGCACCTCCATTAAGCACAACCAACAAAGAATATGTCTCTGAGCATACACAGAGCAGTTTGTTGAAACCAATCTAGTAACTACTTCCAAGCATCCTCCTTTTGGGTATCCCTGGGGCCCCTCTCTCTGCAATGGTCCTTTCTGGAGACAGGAAAGCCTCTTTTCTGTCCGTCGCCCCTCTAGTTGGCTGGCACGTCTCTCCCAATGTCACATCATGGTGCCAACAGTCATGCCAGGCTTGGCTGGCTGCAGGAGTTCTTCTACCATGCCCCCTCCCTGCAGCTGTAAATCCTGACTATTCTGAACGCCCACCTGAACACCTGGGAAGGGTGCCCTTGAGATAAGACCCTCTGCATCTTCCATTTCATTGTCTGAGAATTCTGGTTCCCAGGTCCCCTCCTCATCTGACGAATCCGAATCTGCTTGACCTTGGAACACACGCCAAGAAAAACTGCCTTTCATTCTCAACAGCTGCCTTGCATGCCTTGCAAAAGGAAAAAAGTTGGGATAGCAATATAATTAATTATGATAATAAATCTCTGTACTTGGTGCCACCTAATTTTAATATCTTCAGCCTCCCACACTTTCATTCTAAGACTGTAACCAAATGCAGACTCCATGGCTTAAGCATCAGCCACTTCATCCCACCCCCGTTGCTTCATATATTAGCGTGTGCCTGCTAATTTCAAATCTTATGAAACAGGGCTTAGTTATCAAATACCTGCTAGTCTTTTAAACAAACCATTCTCTTTTCTAAATATCTGCATCTTCTTTAATATGTAAATAAGCATTGCAGTGCCAGACTCCTGCTAAGCATGAAGTCAGAATATCTACAATGCAAATCTGATGGCATCAGGAAGACAGTGAATGGCAAATGGAATTCCATTGATCAACTACATTTCTGCACTACAAATCAGAAGCCTGAAAGTACTTATTAACAGTACCTAATATTTCTATCACAGCTCTTGTATGTTTAATTTTACATCTGATTCTTTTCTTGCCCTGTTCTTTTACGGTAAATTAGATCCAGTGGCGTCATTCCTTTAGAGGTAAACCCCCATTTTCAGCCTTGTACTGCTTACTTGTAACAACATTCCAGCCGAAACAATTGAAATGTGGTGTGAAACGTACACTTTAATAAAAGACTAATTCCTCTGGCTAATAGCCATGTAAAATTTCTTTAGACTTAAAAGCTGCACTGGAGGCTTATGGCAGATAATGGCCCAAACCTATGCTCCTGATGTACAAGATTAACTGGGAGATAAAACTGGTACAGGCTTGGGTCCTGCTTGTATGATTAAAAATTAGAGAGAGAGAAAAGACATAAGATGACTGAGCATTCAAGCATTTTTATCTGAGTATGTAATTCCCCTCCCCCAAAGTACGTTTCTTTCCAGAAAACTGTGTAATCCAAAGGGTTTAAATGTACTTACCACAACACCATTCTTTGTGGTAGTCTCACGGTAGGTAAAGTTGCAGACAGCCCAAGCCAGGTAATACGTGGACATGAGCGGAGTCTGTGAAAAGTGATCTGTAACCCATCCATCTTCTTCAAAAACAGAGGTTTCCACAGGCATATTGGACAAAGATAAATAGGTTGCTTGATGTTTGATGCTGATTTTGAATGTGGCCTTGTAGATAGGTTCATCAAAGCATGGAAAGGCTTTTCTAGCATGGGTTGGAGAAAACTGTGTGACTGCAAGAAATCTGAAAAGAAGAAAAAATGACTGGTTTTACTCAGACCTTAATATTGGCAAATGAAATATTGGCAAAATGCTGTAATATTAAGGCAAAGGGCAGGCAGCACAACATGTAAAATAAGGTCACCGTGAAGCACTACTATGTTTTGGTTTCGAACTAAGTTCTTCAGATCAGAATTGTTTGTAATTATGAGTCTGGATCTATACAATCTATCTATGTAATCCAATGTACCACATTTTGCTAAAAATTATACTTGAGAAACAACACTTGCATTAAATAAATACTCCCTCTTGTTCTGGACAAAATTCATAATAACCTAAGTTTTATTCATCCTGAGAGAGAGACATTTATTTATCTTGACATGTACGACCCACCAAAAAGCTCCTGGGGCAGCTTTCAAAATATACCAACCAACAGAATGTTAACTGATATTAACCCCTATAAAAATAAAAACAAATAACCACAATCTACTGTTGTATCAATGATTTAATTACCCTGAGGGTAATTACCCTCAGGGAAATCTCAAGGGCCTCCAGTACTGACAGCTCACTCTAGCTTCGCTGGGCCTAATAACATATCCTCACTTAAGAATACTCTGGAGGGCCATTATTTCCAACCGTTGATGGTACCTGTTAAGCCTGAGTGATATGAAATGCTTTAGCATGCTAAGCACAGGTTCTTAAGCAATCCACTTCTGTAGCCTCACAAATATTGCAAGCTTAAGCTATAGAATGGCAGCAATCTTGCTTCCACCAATAGTGATCCCCACATATTTTGCTAATTTGCTGTCTAACTCTAACAAACTCTGACCAAAGCCAAGCACAGGATTGGTGACTGGATCCTGGAGATTATCAACGCCTCTCTGAGGGATGGCCGGGTGTCCGCTCCTTTAAAGGAGGCGGTAATCAGGCCTGTCCAGAAGAAGGCATCTCTGGATCCAGAGATGGCTGCCAATTATAAACCGGTTTTGGGCAAAGTGTTGAAACGGGTGGTGGCGGGACAACTCCAAGCACTCTTGGATGAAATTGATTATCTGGACCCATTTCAGCCCGGCTTCAGACCCGGGTATGGTACTGAATCTGCCTTGGTCGCCCTGTATGATGACCTGTGCAGGGAGAAAGACAGGGGGAGTGTGTCCCTGTTGGTTCTCCTGGACCTCTCAGCGGCTTTTGATACCATCGACCATGGTATCCTCCTGGATAGGCTGGCAGGACTGGGAGTAGGAGGCACTGCTTGGCAGTGGTTCCGCTCCTATCTCGACGGCCAATTCCAGAAGGTGGTGCTGGGGGACTTTGGATCTGTGCCATGGCAGTTATGCCATGGAGTACCGCAGGGGTCCATTTCGTCCTCCCTTCTATTTAATATCTACCTAAAACTGCTGGGAGAGGTCATCAGGAGGTTTGGGCTGCAGAGTCATCAGTATGCTATGGCATACTGCATCTGGCTGTACTGAACCGGTGCCTGGTCGAGGTAATGGGCTGGATGAGGGCCAATAAACTGAAACTCAATCCAGATAAGACGGAAGTCCAGTTGGTGGGTGGATCGAGCGCCTGGGTAGGTGACTTGGGCCTTGCCCTGGACGGAGTTGCACTCCCTCTAAAGGACAGGGTCCGCAGCTTGGGAGTGCTCCTCGACCCAGAGCTGACCTTGGAAACTCAAGTGACAGCGGTGGCGAGGAGCACTCTCCTTCCGCTTCAGCTAATCCATCCGCTGCATCCTACCTGGAGGAAGATTGCCTAGCGACAGAGACACATGCATTGGTTACTTCCCGGTTGGATTTCTGCAACGTGCTCTACGTGGGGCTGCCCTTGAAGACAGTCCGGATACTTCAGATGGTGCAAAACAGAGCAGCCAGGTTGCAGACAGGGACTGGGTGTTATTCTTATATAACCCCAGTCCTCTGTCAGCTTCACTGGCTTCCCATCGAAGTCTGGGCTCAATTCAAGGTGCTGGTCATTACCTATAAAGCCCTTAACAGCATGGGAACTGGATACTTAAAGGAACGCCTTCTTCTCTATTTGCCCTCCCGCCCCCTGAGATTGGCAGCAGAGGCCCTCCTCCGGGAACCCTTCGTGAGAGATATTAGGAGGCAAAGTACCCGGAGGGTTTTCTCTGCAGTGGTGCCCCGCCTATGAAATGCGCTCCCCAGAGAGGTCTGCCTGGCACCGTCGTTATATGTTTTTCAGCGCCAGGTTAAGACCTTTTTATTTCAGCAATATTTTAATAAGTTTTAATATTATGACCTATATGTTTTATGGCAGCTAGTGTAGGTCAATAATTTTATTTCTGTTATATTTTATTGTATTTTATCCATGTGAGCCATCCTGAGGCTTTTGCGACAGGATGGCATATAAATACTTAAAATAAATAAATAAAAAACACTAGTAAGAAAAAATAGGTCAATCCTACAGATTAAGTGACCCATTTGAGACACAATGCTACACGAAGGAAACACAGCAAGCCTTAGAAGCCCCTGTAGTTTTCCCCTCCTCCTTCACAAAGATTGGAAGCTTCTACTTTTGATTTTTCATAAAGTACAGCTTCCCATTACAACAGAACTTAGTGTGGTTTAGTCTAACTAGCTAATGAAAACAAACCAGGATTAAGCTCTGGTTTCCGTTGACTAGTTAAACAGTAATCTTCGCAAATTATGACTCCATAGAAAGCTAAGGCTTGTCCAAGCCTTTTCTCCCCCTTGTGTATGAAGAGCAGCAGCAGCAGCATGTGAGTGCCAAGGATGGCTTGGAACATTGTCTCAACTGAGTCATGCCTTACATCCAATGTAAAATTGCCTGTTTAAACAACTTTATATGATTGCTGAAGATACCACTATTACTATATGCAAGTTTGGACATCAGACTTCAATCCTGATTCTACAAGATGACATGCAGTTAGCAGTATCAACTTCTAGTCTTACTAACCTGGGCAAGGGTACTTACTGCCTTATTATGTGTCCATATTATTCCTCTGTCATATTTCTCCATTATCAAGAAGGCACACTGTATACAAGGCTGCAATCCTATAGTTCACTTAACTCAGTGGACGGATTCACGTGTCACATCTGTCATGAGCTGGAGTTTTTCCCCCTTTGCACATTCAAGGCAAAAGAGCATTCTTTGCAAAAAGCTTTTTATTCACCAAAGTATACCCAATGCACTCAATCACCACAGAATGTCTCTCTGAGCATGCACAGATTGGTTTGTTGAACCCAATATAAACAATTCGGAAATAGTATTTCCAGATACCCTCCCTTTGAGCATGCCTGGGCCTGATCTCTTTGGGATGCCCAATTGAAAGCAAGCACGCCTTTTCTTTGTACATCAACCTTAGCTCTTCTCTCCTGACGGTGCATCAAGGGGTCAAGAGTCACACCAGATTCTTTTGACTCTGGGAACTCCTCTTCCAAGCCCCCACCCAAAAGCTATGCATTTTGATTATTCTCAGAGCCTGCCTAAGCATGTGGGGTGGATGGCCTCAAAATACATGTCTCCACTTCTCCCATCTCAAAATCTGGAGTCGCACATTCACAGCTGTCCTCTGCTTCCCCCCAACCTTTCTAAGAAGTTCACACTGGCATGAGCTGGGAATGTCCACCAAGAACAATTGTCCCTCTCATCCCAAACAACAGCCCACCCTATAGATAAGCTACACAGGCTGGCTCTTCGTGAAACAACTCATGGTACCCCTGAGTTGCTCCCATTTCCTCCCCCTCGGTCCTCCCGCAGCGTCCCAGGGCCGTCCACAGCAGTACCTACTTGTCTTTTTTCTTGCCACAGCTGCAAGCCTTTTGAACTTGCTGTTGCTTTCCCCCACTTCCCCCTCCCAAAGACTGCTTTTCCTGATACACAGATTTTATTGCTGTATATTTCCCTGTCAGAAAATGCCGTTGAGCCCTTGGGGGGTGGGGGAGTTTTAGAAGAAGTGCTCTCATACCTGTCAAAACGCTCTGCTCCTTTAAATGGTGCTGGATACACTTTTCTCCTTTCCTAAGCACCTACTCTGAGGAAGGACACCAAGAACTGTAAAGGTTCACACTTCAAACCTACAAGATCTTCCTACAAAAAGAATAATATACTTGCTATCCCCTTTGCAAGCAAAGATCTTGCAAAGGGTGCTTTGCTTTTCACTTGACAATTCACTGGTTGACAGCTGTCAAGTGCAAAGCAAAGTAACAAAATAGCCTATTTGCAGCCTTACTTGGACAGTGTTCAAAGCTTCATATTTTGGCTAGTCAGAAATTCATAACGGAGCACCTCTGAACTACTGACTAGAAAAAAAAATTGCAAAAAACATTAGCACACATTTCTACTAACTAAAAAAAATAAAAATAAAACTTGACAAACTAGTGACAGCCCCTTCTTGGGCACTTTGGAGGAGCTGCCAGTAGTTGCTACTGAAAAAGACTGAGTAAAGAGGAGCGGGAGAGCCACAACAGAAATGAAAAACAGTAATGACCAAAGTGGGGAGAAGAGACAAGGCAGTTTCAGCCACCAAGTTTCCTGGGATACCTGCTGAATGATTGAGGAAAGGTAATGCAACATCTGTCAGGTACCATAGGGTACCACAGGGTCAGGTGTTCCACGAACAAACTGCAAAGGATTGTTCTACTCATCCTAGCCACAAATGTGCACACTCACACACACATTTCCCCAGCCCCAAATGAGAACAAAACAAAACAAAAATCCATGCACTGACCCCAGGCTCCAGCCACTGCATTCCCCGCCTAGTATTCCGACTTGATCCTCTGCCATCAGATTCCCTGTCCAAGAAATCACTTGGAGTGCGGGGGAGGAGGGAGAAGAGAGAGCAAGCAAGAAGAGCAACGGAGGACTTGGGAAGAAGAAAAAAAGGCTAAGGGTTCTGGAGAGAAATAAATACTGAAGTAAAAAGGTAAGAAGAGAAACAGCAAGACTGCAAGGAAGGAGAAAATAGCAAAAGAAAGATACAGGCTAGGAAGGAAGAGAAACTGCAAGGTCCAGAAGGTCACAGAGTGAAAAGTGGGGAAG